GCCAGCGACTCACGGCAGCCCAGCTCCAGGTTGAGCTGTTGTTCAGCATCTTAGCTGTGGAGGGCAGTGTTCACTGGCCCTCATATGCGGGATCCGAACCGGGGCCCTCTGGCATCCCAAGCAAGTTCTTAACCATCGCGCCACTCGGCCGGCCCAGGTCTAAGTTTCTTGACTTTTTACTTTTTGAATTCATATTTGTTGCTCAAACTGGAAATGTAACTGCCAGTCACAAGCACCCATTTTCGTGACATTATCCTTTTTGCTGTGTGTTTTCCTCTACCCAGAGATATATGTTTATTTACGGCCTCTAAAACTATTATTGTAGACATTTCAAAGGGCTTGTTTCCAGCAGCATCACAACATTTGGAATTCTGAGGTCAGAGCACCAAAAATCATGAGGAACTCGTGTGCAATAAGGTCTCTGCCGTCCTCCGAGTCAGTTGGGAAACATGTCAGGCAATAATCAAGAGAACTGGTTATTTCAATCCACAATGTCTTGTCCGTATAATACGCTGAGGATCAAAATGGAATACATGAGCAAATACCAAATGTAAGGGAATTCCACGAAAGACAACATCGAGTAAAACCCCCTCTTCCTATGGGCACACAGTACCTCTCGGGGGAATAGTCACACCCGTGGCACCCAAGGTTCAGCAGGGGCCCACTGGAGGACCCCAGGGGCCCTGCTGTGGAGTTAATTAAGCTTCAAGGTCAGTGAGTGGGAATTCATCTGAAAGCAATGGGAGAGTTTGTAACAGGGAGCTAAGATATTCAATGGGGAAAAGAACAGTCTGCGACAATGGTGCTGGGAAAACTGGACATCCACATGCAAAAGGCTGAACCTGGGCCCTTACCTTACACCATATACAAAAATTTACTCAAAATGGATCAAAGACCTAGACTTATGAGTATGAGCTAAAACTACAAAACTTTTGAAGAAAACATTGCAAAAAATCTTTTTGACATTGGGTTTGACAATGATTTCATGGTAATGACCCAAAAAAGCACAGGCGACAAACAAACAGATGAACTAGACTTCCTCAAAATTGAGATCAAAGGGCACTAATAAGAAAGTGAAAATATAAGCTATAGAATAGGAGAAAATATCTGCAAATCATATACCTGAGAAGGGATTGCTATCCAGACAATGTAGAGAACTCCCACAACTCAACAATTAAAAAAAAAACAACAAAGAATGTGGAAAGGATTTGAATACATATTTATTTCTCTAAGGAAAACACACAAATGGCCAATAAACACATAAAAAGTAGCTCAGCATCATTAGTCATCAGAAAAACGTAAATCGAAACCACAATGAGATACCACCTCACACCCACTTAGGATGGCAATAGTGGCAGTAGTGACAGGAAGAGGGGAGAGAAGAAAAAGGCCCAGAAAATAGCAGGTGTCAGCAAGGATGTGGAGAAAGTGGAGCCCTTACACGCTGCTGGTGGAAATATGAAATGGGACAGATGCTTTGGAAGAGAGCCTGGCAGCTCCACAAAATATTAAACAGAGGGTTCCCATGTAACCTAAGCATCTCACCGTGAGAGCTGAAGACATGTTCACACAGGAACTTGAACATGCATGTTCACAGCAGCTTTACTCACAACAGCCAAAACGTGGAAACCACTCAAATGTTCAGCAACTGATGAATGGATTAACAAAAAGTGGGACAGCCACATAGGAAATGTTATTCAGCCACAGAAAAGGAATGAAGGACGGTTGATGCAGCATGGAGAAACCTTGAAAACGTGATGCTGAGGGACAGCGGCCGGCAGAGAGCCACAGTGTCTGACCCATTCACGTGACATGTGCAGGACGGGCAAATCCAGAGGCAGGAGGGAGGTGGGGTGGGCGGGGGAGGCACGTGTCCTGGATTAGACAGTGGTGAGGGCTGCACAGCTCTGGTACTATTCTAGAAACTACGAAAATATACACTTTAAAAGTGTGAGTTTTATGATATGTGAATTATACTCAATTAAAAAAGCAAAGGTCATAAATACGCAAAACTTTCACAAAACAATGGAAGAAAGCTCCCATTAAATGTGGCAGAATTAACATGTTTACCTCCACCCTACAGAAACTGCATTAAAATGACACCAGATTAAAAGGCGCAAACTCACAGGCACTGAAGTCAGCAGAAGCGACTGCCCTGCTCTCTGGACTGTGGGCGGGGAAGTGGTGACTGCTGTGGCCAAGCCAAGGACACTGTGCCTGAGCCCACGGGAAGAAGGTGTCAGGAAACGGCGGTGCACACCCCACATTCTATCGCAGAATGCTGCGCGCAGCTCCACACGCAGAAGGTGGAGGTCAGGGGGTAAAGCGTGGGTCATACTTTAAATTTCCTGGAAGGAAGCATCAGGCCCCCAGGAACCCCGTGGCACCTGTGGTCATAAGGTGAGCACCTCCCCTTCCGTGGACAGCTGGAGGGTCCCTCCTGAAGAGGGTGATTCACTCAGGGTATGACAAGAGGCAGTGAAGACAGTGCATTGTCGAAATTAAAACCAGAGTGTTTGATGGCAGAAAACTTAACAATGACACCTCCTGCCCCTTCTTGCAGGAGGCGCTCAGAATTCCCAAGACAGGATCATGTTCTCAATCAGTCCCATAAAATAGAAAGAGTACAAACAGCAGTCTTTGATAACAATGCAATCAAACCAGAAAGTAATGACCTTGAACCCAAGGACAACTGACATCATTCTAGTTTACTAAATGTAACTGGCCCTGACATGTCACTAAGTTAGTAAGGGACACGAGAACAGAAATCTGGACAGTGATGTGACAGACACATTCATGCAATGACCCGCTTCTTCAGGCAACACTGACACGCTTCAGGGAGCCCGGGACTCCCCACAGCCCGTGGAGTTATACACAAGCAGCGGGGAAGAGCTGTGGTGGGGGAGGCAGAGAGGCCGAGGGGGCCACACGCTTCTTCCTCGCTGGCCCTCCCCGACTGCACAGCCCCTCAGGACAGCAGAAGTCATGGTTTCTAATGTCTGCTGAACAGGCTGCCAAAACAAATCAGCTTCAAAAGACGCGTCCCTAAGGACGTCACAATCCCTCCCGAGCACAGCCCATTCGGCTGCACACTCCACACGCAGGCAGACGCATACTTGCACGTGTGCACACGGAGCAGGAGCAGCTCACGGGGTTACCGGGCTCCCTCCCACGATCATGAGGCCGGGGACGGTCCCACCTGCTCCCACTGGCCCCCTATGCCCTCCTGCGAGAGGGGCCATGCTGGCGGGGGTGTTTTAGGCCGTTGTAAGAATGGGGGCAGGTGGAATCATGTTTTAATACAAGCAACTGGTGAAAAAATAATGAGGACATAGAACACATGACCAACACAAACCCGTGGTATCGTGTGCATAACGCTGCACCTGCCGCTAAGCGGCTGCTCATTCCCTTCAGCTCTCAGACAACGACACAGAGGTCAGCACCGCTCCAGCTCAGGCGCAAGTTTTAACAAATGTCAAAGACAGGAAACCAACAGAGCAGGCTTTCCACCCTCCAGGCAATTACATTAGAAACCATCAGCCGAAAGATGGCTTTCTAATTCCCCCGGACAGATATCTTTGAAATGCTTCACCATAAGAAATGGACAGGAACATAATGAAATTGGAAAATAATTAAACCACAGCAGTAACAAAATGACTGCATGCCCAAATCTGAGGCAAGGAGCTCCAACAGAACTCACAGGATGTTACAGCTTTAAAAGCCTACATTACAAATAAAGGAAGGCCAA